TTATACTGGAAGAGAATGTTATTATATAGAACACTCCACACAGTAAGGGATGGATCATTTACTTATACTGGGAGGGAATGTCATTATATAGAACACTCCACACAGTAAGGGATGGATCATTTACTTATACAGGGAGGGAATGTCATTTATATAGAACACCCCACACAGTAAGGGATGGAGAATTTACTTATACTGGAAGAGAATGTTATTATATAGAACACTCCACACAGTAAGGGATGGATCATTTACTTCTACTGGGAGGAATGCCATGACAGAACACTCCACACAGTAAGGGATGGATCATTTACTTATACTGGAAGTGAATGTTATTACACTGTATAGAGAACACTCCACACAGTAAGGGATGGATCATTTATTTATACAGGGAGGGAATGTCATTATATAGAACACTCCACACAGTAAGGGATAGATCATTTACTTATACTGGGGGGGGATGTTATTATATAGAACACTCCACACAGTAAGGGATGGATCATTTACTTATACTGGGAGGGAATGTTCTTACACTGTATAGAGAACACCCCACACAGTAAGGGATGGATCATTTACTTATACTGGAAGGGAATGTTATTACACTGTATATAGAACACCCCACACAGTAAGGGATGGAGACTTTACTTCTACTGGGAGGAATGCCATGACAGAACACTCCACACAGTAAGGGATGGATCATTTACTTATACAGGGAGGGAATGTCATTATATAGAACACTCCACACAGTAAGGGATGGATCATTTACTTCTACTGGGAGGAATGCCATGACAGAACACTCCACACAGTAAGGGATGGATCATTTACTTATACAGGGAGGGAATGTCATTATATAGAACACTCCACACAGTAAGGGATGGATCATTTACTTATACTGGAAGTGAATGTTATTAAACTGTATATAGAACACCCCACACAGTAAGGGATGGATCATTTACTTATACAGGGAGGGAATGTCATTATATAGAACACTCCACACAGTAAGAGGTGGATCACTTACTTCTACTGGAAGGAATGCCATGACAGAACACTCCACACAGTAAGGGATGGATCATTTACTTATACAGGGAGGGAATGTCATTATATAGAACACTCCACACAGAAATGGATGGATCATTTACTTATACAGGGAGGGAATGTCATTATATAGAACATTCCACACAGTAAGGGATGGATCATTTACTTATACTGAGAGGGAATCTCATTATATAGAAAACTTCACACAATAAGGGATGGACCATTTACTTATACTGGGAGGGAATGTCATTATATAGAACACTCCACACAGAAAGGGATGGATCATTTACTTATACAGGGAGGGAATGTCATTATATAGAAAACTACACACAATAAGGGATGGATCATTTACTTATACTGGGAGGGAATGTCATTATATAGAACACTCCACACAGAAAGGGATGGATCATTTACTTATACAGGGAAGGAATGTCATTATATAGAACACTCCACACAGTAAGGGATGGATCATTTACTTATACAGGGAGGGAATGTCATTATATAGAACACTCCACACAGTAAGGGATAGATCATTTACTTATACAGGGAGGGAATGTCATTATATAGAACACTCCACACAGTAAGGGATGGATCATTTGATGGATCATTTACTTATACTGGAAGTGAATGTTATTACACTGTATATAGAACACTCCACACAGTAAGGGATGGAATGTCATTATATAGAACACTCCACACAGTAAGAGGTGGATCACTTACTTCTACTGGAAGGAATGCCATGACAGAACACTCCACACAGTAAGGGATGGATCATTTACTTATACAGGGAGGGAATGTCAGTATATAGAACACTCCACACAGAAAGGGATGGATCATTTACTTATACAGGGAGGGAATGTCATTATATAGAG